TTAATTAGTCCTTTAATTTCTATGAGAAATAGTATTTAAGACTTATTTTTCAGTGTGTGTGTGTGTCTTTTTTTGTATGCTACGTGTGTGTGAGTGCCCACAGAGGCAGAAGGTCCCCGGAGCTGGAGTTAGCGGGGGCTGTGACCTACGTGATGTGCATGTGGGGAACCGAACTATCAAGTGCTCGTGAGCACAAAGCCATCTCCCCACAGACCCTAGAAATAAAGTCGTCTGTCTAACAGATGAGTGAACTGAGTCTCAGAGAGGTGGAGTCCTCAGACTGCCCACAGCAGTTACCAACAGTGTGTTAGTTGTCAGTGATCCACAGCGGACCTCACGTCTGTTCCCTGTCAGCTTTGTACTAGTACACAGGTGCTGGGTGAACAGTGGTGACCTCTTTGCTTGAGGAGAGGAGGAAGTTTCTATATAAAAGACATCAGGAAGATGGGAAGGAGCTTTAACACACTGTTTACTTGTGTGTGTGTGTGTGTGTGTGTGTGTGTGTGTGTGTGTGTGTGTGTGTATATATGGGCTCAGTTATGCTACGGCATGCACGTGGAGATCAGAGGACAACTTTTAAAAATTTATTTCCTCCTTCAACTATGCCGTGGTAGTTCAAAGGCCAGGTGCTCAGGTTTGGTTGTAAGTGCCTTTTTACCACTGAGCCATCTGACCAACATTGTTTTGTTTCTTTGACAGACAGCGCTTCACTCTAGTCCTGACCGGCCTTGTGCTTTTGGCAGTCTCTCTGCTTCAGTCTCTCAAGTGCTATGATCACCATACCTGGGATGAGCTCAAATGTATCATTTAAACATTGCTAGGAATTTGTTTATAAGGCATTTGAATCTTTGTAATATGTTACCCAGCAGTAATTAAAATTTTCGTGGGCAGTAACCAAGAGACCTCTATTGTTATTAAGAAAGAAAATCCCAGCTGCTCAATTTTACCAATAAAGACTCAGGAGTCAGATGCAGAGGTGAAAGTCTGCTAGCTCAGAGAGTCAGAGAAAGACCCCAGCTGATCTTCCTACTTGGCCAGCATCCCAGAAGGAAAAAAACCTTCCTACTCAGCTCACTTCCCAGAAGGGAAAAGCCCCCTCTCTTCCTCCACTCTGTCTTAACTACCCTTCTCTCAATGCCCTTCTTTTCTGTTAATCCCTGTCAGCTGGTTTCTTGCTCTGCCTCTTGACCTAGGGTTAACCTCATTTAATCCTATTTACAGAAAGCTCTTGGATAAAAGGTGTGTGCTAGGGCTGAACCACACTACAATTAGAACAAGTTTTTTCAGTTCACAATCTCAGGATTTACAGTGGGATCAAATATCCTAAAACAAGGCTCAGTAAATGAAAGTGCTTGCCATGCAGGCCTGATGACATGACTTTGATTCAAAAATCTCATGGTAGGAGAGAACCAACTCCTGAAAGTTGTCCTTTGACTTCAAAAATATTTGTCTACTTAACCAATACCCCATATACTACATGTATGTGCACACAAACAAGAATAAATATAATCTTTAAATAAATGTCTCCTTTGAGCAAAGGAAGGAAGGAGATAGTTGTTTTCAGTGTTCTGGGAAATGTCCTGCTTAAAGGCCTGGGTAGTACTTTAGACCTTCATCATTCCTTAACAAACATAATTCAGAAGAACCAAAGTGGGCAAATAAGAGACTAGACAAGATGGCCATAGAAACTGTTGATGGCAGATGAGCTCTGTGATAGATGTAGTTCTTGAGAATTTCAAAGGTAGAACCAAAAAACATAAAAGATACCATTGTTGCCTGGTGGTAAGGAAAAGGAATTATTTAGTAGATGCCTGCTACGTACTTCAGGTATGTTGTTTTCACAGATGCACAGTCTTAGAGTTTCATTGCTGTGAAAGGACATCATGACCACAGCAGCTGCTATAAAGGACAACATTCAATTACATCTGGCTTATAGTTTCAAAGGTTTATTCCATTATTGTCATAGGGGGAAGGATGGCAGCATACAGGCTGGCATGGTGCTGGAGACAGAGCTGAGAGTTCTGCGTCTTGATCCCCAGCTAGCAAGAAGAGACTGTGTGCCACACTGGGTGTGGCTTGAGCATAGGAGACTTAAAGCCCATCCCCACAATGACATACTCCCTACAACAAGGCCACACGGACTCAAACAAGGCCTCGCCTCCCTATGGGCCAAGCATTCACACACATGAGTCTTTGGGGGCTGTTCCTGTTCAAGCCACCACATGCATTATGATGGTTAATCTTTCATTGACAGCTATGTTAATCTTTGAGCCATCTCTCTAGCCCTCATATTTTTTAAACTATTATTTAGAGATGTAAAGGTCAAAACTACATGGAGTTGAAAAGAGCCAAGACAATTCCTGCTTACTTAAGACAACTTTACAAGCACACCCATGCATTTTAAATTTCAGAGACAGAAAAAAGGAGCTAGTCACTTAGCAGTTCCTGTTTCCTCTTATGGATGAGGAGAGACCCCTTCCTCCCACCACATTCCCTAGGATCCTAGCCACAGCATTTATGGTTCTTGTGCTCCTGAAATAACATTCATACTAGGATAATCCAGGATGCAGGTAGAGGAGTTTACAGAATACAGAAAGAGCAGGTTTATTTTGCCCATTGTCATCTTCCTCAGCTCTGCTTTCAGTTTGAAACTCTGCTCAGCCCTGGCCTCTGTCACCAGCACTGAGTAAGAGAGGGAATATATGTACCCACACCATGTGAGGACAATTCATAGAGTTGGTTGTCTCCTTCCACCTTCATATGAGTTCCAGGGATCAGATGAAACTCGGGCCCTTAGGCCTGCATGACAAACACTTTTTGCCAGCATGACAGCCTGCCTGTAATCCTACCACAGGAGGATTACAAGGTTGAGAATTCAAGGTCATCTTTAGCTATATATTAAATGTACTCTATGCATGGCTTAAGAGGTTCTGGGGTTCCAGCTGAGGATTTCATGTATGCGAGACAAGCATTCTACCAACTGAGCTATATTCCAGCCCTGGTTTTGTTATTTCACTTTGTAGCCCATACTGGCCTTAGACTCTCAGTGATTTCCTGCTTCAGCTACACATACCTGGCTAGCAATCAGAGGGTTGACATTGGAATTAAAGCAGACTCTCATTTCAGGAGCTAGAGAGATGGCTTAGCAGCAAGATGTTACTCTTGCAGATGGCCCGGGTTCAGTTCCAATCAGTCCCATGGCAGCTCACAACCATCTTTAACTCTAGTTTCAAGAGATCTGAGCTCTCTTCTGAATTTCTCAGGCACCAGGAACAGACATGGTATTCATATGTACATGCAGAAAGAATCCTCATGCACCATAAATAAATAAACAATTTTATTTATTTTAAAATTTTAAAATAAATTTTAAATAAATTTTAAAATTTATTACAAGTTAATGCTTACAATACAATAGTAGAAGGTAAGATTCTGATTTAGTCATCAGTGTAGGAGACTGCCCATTTCCTTAATATTGCAGCTGTGATACTTAATTGACTTTTCCAACTCAATATGTCTAAAACCAAATTCATATTTCTATCCATTAATCATTAGATAAAAACTATCTAAATTGTTGTGTAAACCAAAACTCTGTATGTCATTCTTAAAATGTTAACTTTCTCACCTTCTGTACAGTCAGTTGTCTATTTTTCTTAGTTTCTATACACTGTCTTGGTCCAAGATCATCAAGATCTCTCTCTCGGCTTTACTAATCACTGTCTAATTGGCTTCTGCTCCTGGGCAAAGAGGACAGCTGGAAGCCTGACTGACTCAGGCCCAGCTACAAGGCTTTGAGTTGGCCCACCCCAACATCTCCCTAATCTATGAACCTCTGGAGGGTGTGAAGGGTCCAGTCCTACAGATCCAAAGCTACAGGGTCTCCATGTGACAGAGCAACAACAGGATATCCGAGATGAGTCACAGTGAGAATCCGATATTGATAGTGTAGTAGAAGACAGAGGCCTCAACCAGAGAATGACTCACTGAACATTTACAGGTAAAGCTGTCTGGGCAAAAGGGTGCACTGTGGGACACACCGAGATACACTACAGTTTCCAAAAAAGTGAGATTTTATTTTCTTTGAATTATTTTTTTTATTTTTAATTTTTGTTTTATTTTGGGGGGGGAGGCTATAAGGGGAGGTAGATTGAAAGGATGAGGAGATGTGTGGGATTGGGGTACATGATGTGCAATTGACAAAGGATTAATAAAAACTTTTTAAAATTTTTTTTTTCTTAGCCTAGCATAACTTTAATCCCTTTGGCTGAATACAGACACACCCTTGGAACACACCTTTAATCCCAAACAGTGTAGATAAGGTTAATTGATAGAAGAAAGCAGCCATGTTTGAAAGTAATGTCTAAGTGGTGGTACATACCTGTAATTACAGCACTCTGGGAGGCAGGGCAGGTGGATTTTTGTGAGTTCAAGGCCAGTCTGGTCTACAAAGGGAGTCCAGGACAGTCAGGGCTACACAGAAAAACCCTGTCATGAAAAACAAATCAAAGAATGGAAAGGAAGGAAGGTAAACAAAGAGAGACAGACAAAGTATTGAATCAGACAAAGATTTGACAGAATAGGATTTGACAGAAAAGGCTATGCCCAACTCTCCCAAGAAGCTTCTTGAGAGAGCAGCTTAGAGAAGGGGACGGATAAAGCAGTTTTGCTGGGACAGTTTTACAGAGCCAGGTTGAAGAGAGAGCAAGCTAGACACAGGTGAACACTGAATGAGCCAGAGAATGGGAAGGAGCCAGGAGATTAGAACATATTGCCAAAGTTAGTATGAGGCCAAGCAGAGCAATTCAGTCACAAGCTGAGAGAAGCCAGTTTGAATCAGTCAGCTTGGCGAGGAGTTTTGAGCCAGGCAGCTGAGTTGAACCAGCTA